GGAGGGAAGAGGGGGGAGGGGAGCAATGAGGCAGCCATTTTAAGAACCAGTGGGAGGAGAGGGCAGCTCTGAGAGAGCAGTGGGTTTCCAGGTGGGGCTGTCTTGCTGACCCATCCCCTCTGAGTGATGTCTGAAATTGAAGTCCCGACTTGGAGCAAGTATGAGGGGATGAGAGCTACCCACAGACTAAAGTTCCTGGCTCTATGGGAAGTGACCCTCAGAAAACTCCAAGAAGAAAGCTGCCCCAGCTCATAGGGAAAAGGGTGTAAGAGCTTAGGGTTGGAATCCCAGTCACTCAGCCTCTGACTCAGTGTGAGTGACTCAGTTTCTTCATTTGTGAAATAAAGGTCTGGCCTCAAGGGTGCGCAATTGTGTGGTGGCCCGGGGCTCTGCATTTGGAAAGCCTCGACCTTGGTTGAATTCACTGCTGCTGTCATCTTCAAATAATTATTGAACGAGAGGGTCCTTGGTTTTAGTTTTGCCCTCAGCCTGCAAATAATGAAGTGGGTCCTGATAAATGCCTCCTCAAGGGCGTGACAGACCCCTGGAGGATCTGCCATGTCCTGCCTGGAGTCAGGCTCAAGAACGGGCAGTACATCAGAGCAGGTGTTAGCAGGCACCACGGTCCTGTCTGTGGGCTCCTGTACTGTCTCCTGTCCCTGGGACGGGGAGGGCTGGGCCCAGGCTCCTGGACACTACAGATTGGCCTAGGCCATGGGTGACAGCTTGGCCTCCTCTGGAACCTTCTTCCTGGCCTCTCCTCAGCTAATTGCTTGGGAGCCTGAGCAGGAAGAGGAGGTTACCATGGTTACAGCCCGGCCCAACTTCCAAGACAGCATCCACGTGGGCTTCGTGTCCGGCCTGAAGAAGTTCACCGAGTACTTCACCTCCGTGCTGTGCTTCACCACACCGGGGGATGGGCCTCGCAGCAGCCCCCAGCTGGTGCGCACCCACGAGGACGGTAGGTGCCACCTGCCCGCTGCCTTGGCCCCACCTTCCCATTGGGGCACCCAGGGCCACCCAGAGCTGTCTTGCGGGGAGCGGTCTCGCTCTGGCTCTAATTGGCCCCGGATGTGTGGGGGGCCCTTTGGGGAACAGTGCCGGGGCCTGTGGGACACCTGAGCTTCAGTGACATCCTGGACACTTCGCTGAAGGTCAGCTGGCAGGAGCCCGGAGAAAAGAACGGCATCCTCACAGGTAGGCAGCAAGGTGCTCCCAAAGGGGGTGCGGCGGGGAGGGCCAGCTGGTCCGTCTCCCTGCCTTTCCTACCGCTGGCTTTCCTCCAGGCCCACCCAGCCAGCCAATCCAATTTCTTTTTTTGTACTGAGGACTGAACCCAGAGCTACATCCCCAGCCCTTTTAAATTTTTTTTTTTTTTTTGAGGTAGGGTCTTACTAAGTCTCTAAGTTGCCCAAGCTAACTTGCCATCCTCCTGCCTCAGCCTCCCACAAGGCTGGGATTAACAGGCATGTATCACCAGGCCCAGCTCAGCTCATTCTTTCTTAGCAGCCATTCAAGAGGCTTTTGGTACCTTGGATTGTAGCACTTCCCAGTATCTCTGGACCTGGGTCTTCAGGACCTCTCGTTCTTTGGGACCTCAAAGGCCTGGCTCAGATATCCCTTCTTGCAATCCCAACCCCATGGGTGCCTCCCCCCGTGCATCATCTGAGAATCTGGCCCAGTGCCTGCAGCTCCCCCCTCCTGGGCCCCTTGCGCCCCACATGGACTGAACTGTTGAGCTGGAAAAGAAGTGGAAAGTGGAACCTGCGTCAAGACCCCTGACGGTCCTGGCCAGGCTCACACCGCTGGACTCTCTCCAGGGTACCGGATCTCCTGGGAGGAATACAACCGAACCAACACCCGTGTGACCCACTACCTGCCCAATGTGACCCTGGAGTACCGCGTCACCAGCCTCACGGCACTCACCACCTACACCATCGAGGTGGCCGCCATGACCTCCAAGGGCCAGGGCCAGGTGACAGCCTCCACCATCTCCTCAGGAGTGCCTCCAGGTGGGTGACCCCCGGCCAGGGAGGGGACTTCTGGGGTCCCCCAGAGCAGCGCCCCATGTGGAAGCCGCCCCTTCCTGCGGGGACACAGAGCTACCCCTTCCCTCGGGGCCTCCCCAGAGCAGGCGGAGTCCAGCAGCCCCTGGTCTCTGAATGGAAGCTCGGTGGGCTTGCAGCCGCCTTCCCCCAGCCGCGGGTCTGAGCGCAGCGCAGGCCACTGGAGGACTCCGCCCTTGTCCTGTCTGCTCTACTGCCCACTTCCCACGCTCCCACCAGGCCATGGCACCTGGGATCCAAGGAAGAGTCCCCACCGAGGTCCCCCAGAAAGTCCAGCCAGATTCCAACCTGTTGCTTGAGATTGCAGCAAAAGCAAGCTGAGATCTCATTGCAGCTCTGCTTCTGTCAGCCGCCATGCCTCAGTTTCCCCGTCTGATTCCTGGGGGGAGTGGGACTAGATAACCATGTGATGGTGCACAGATCAGTACGGCTCAGAACTGGCTTGAACCCCTCGAGCTGCCTGCTGAGCTGGCTCAGGTCCCTGAGTTTCCGTCACTCTGTGTCCTGTCCCACCAGCCCGGAGCTAAGGGCTTTATAGACATCAACTCCATAGACCCTCACAGCAACCCAGAGGCAGAGGATACCATCATCATTTCCATTTTCCTGAGGCACGGACAGGTCCCCGTGTAAAGACACACAGCCTGGGAGCGGTGGAGTTGGATTCAAATGCAGAGTGCAGCTCCAGTGTGCTTTCTGTTCACGCTGACCCCAAGAGCCCCAGGGTCCCACGTTCCTGTCTCCTGCAGCCACGGTGGTGTGGGAGGACTGTAACAGGGTGCAGATGGAGTAGGGCAGAACCATTTGGCTTCTCTCTGAACCCAGCTTGGATTCCTGCAGCCTCTAGCTCCCTCCCGAGCATCTCGCTTACACTCAGAACTGCCCAGGGAGGCCCCTCAGGGCCCAGTCGGCCCTAGCCTTCTGGTGAGAACACGGTGTCCTGCCAGAGGCGGTGGTCCAGGTGTTGGCAGATGAGGCCTTGACCACACTTCTGAGACTTTCCCAGGACAGCCCCTTCCACGGCCCCAAAGTCCTGCCCCATGTGGAGAGACCTGCTCACCTCATCTCCTTTCCTGCCTTGTTTTCTCCTCCTGCAGAACTCCCAGGGGCCCCTACCAACCTGGGCATTTCCAACATCGGCCCCCAGTCGGTGACCTTGCAGTTCAGGCCGGGCTACGATGGGAAGACCTCCATCTCCCGCTGGCTGGTGGAGGCCCAGGTAAAGCCTGCCTGCCAGAGGTGAACCGGGCCTCAGCAGCTCCCTCCACCCCAGCCCTGTGCTCCTGAGTGCAAAATCATACATGTAATCCAGTGTCCGTTTTCACATGTGAAAACACTCCTGGCCACGCACAGACACTTCTGGACTTAGGGTAAGGGTCGCATCCCTGTGAACATTTCATCCTAAGTTGAAAATACCACAAGCTGAAAATTCATTTAATATCCCTAATGGGGCCGATCCTGCCTTAAACTGTACTGTGGACTGACAGTAGCTTACAGGTGGGCCCCCTAAATGTCCAGCCTAGGAAAAGAACAGAGTTCAGAATTTCAAGTATGACTTTTACTGAATGCCAATCAATTTCACATCATCCTAAAAATCATTAAATTGAGCCATGGTAAATTGAAGGCCATCTGCAAACCAAGCTCCCAAAACTGTCTCCACCCCTGCCTCACCTGTGCATGTGAGAACACCCCCACACCCTAGGTGTCCCCCTAGGCTGGGTAGTGACCAGCTGCTGAAAAATCCATTGTTGTCTGCAGACCCTTAAGCCCCAGGGTTCTCAGCCCTGGCTGCACCCCTGGAATCATCAAGAAATAGAATTTCAACACCAGTGTCTTACACATTTGCGCTCACGCACGTGTGCGCACACACACACACACACGCAGACAGAAATTTAGATTCAGATTTAACTGGTTTGAGAGACAGACAAGTTTTTATAAATACCCCAGACTGTCCAGGAGAAGCGCCCAGGGAACCTGGTAAAGGAACAGATTTCCAGGTGGCAGTGGTTCCACTGCCTGCCTTGCAAGCACAAGACCCGAGTTCGATCCCCGACACCAAAAAAAAAAAAA